ACTGCAACCTCCGCCTTCTGGGTTCAAGAGATTCTCCTGCCTCAGCCTCCCAAATAGCTGGGATTACAGGCGCCTGCCACCACACCTAGCTAACTTTTATATTTTTAGTAGAAACAGGGTTTCATCATCTTGGCCAGGCTGATCTGGAATTCCTAACCTCATGATCCACCCGACTTGGCCTCCCAAAGTGCTGGGATTACAGGCATGAGATACCATGCCTGGCATGGACTTTAATTCTTAAGGTGCAAGACAGTTAAATGGCACATTTTCAGGTAGTCTAATGATTTCAGGGTCTTTATTAGGAGCCCAATTCCATAGGACCTGGAGGTTTTCTAAGGTTTAAAGGTATCACATTAATTCTCCCTTCCTCACCCTCCGCTGCTGGCAGGGTTTATGATGCCACCGTACTGTTTTACAGTGCCTGCTGGGACTTGAAGACAATAGGCATTATTTACCATGTGCCAGACAGACACTGTGCTAAGCGTATTAGTGAGCTATTTTATTAAACCTGCATAATAATCTTCTCGGGGGGGTATGATCATTATCCAAGGCCAAGAGAGGTTAGCAAACTTTCTCAGGATCACACAACTGATAATTGGGGAAGTGACAGACCTTGAACCCACATAGTAGACTCTAGAGCCCCGCTGCTTAACCAGCAATTTATACTGCCACTGGATTGACTCAGTGGCCCTGTTAAGGTTTTTGTTTTTAAAAATCCCATTAATATCCTTAGCACAGGACTATTATCTCTCCTACTCAACTTTCCCAGAGATACCTCTGTGATCCAAGGTGTATACTTCAGTCTCCTCCTCAGGAGAACTCAAAATTCATCATGTCACTCCTGTGCTTAAAACTCATCAATAGCTCTCCCTGTACCCCTCAGAATAAAGTCCAAGTTCTTTGTCATGCCTTATAAGGCCCCTCATGATCGGCCCCTTCTTATAAGACCAGCCTTGTCATCTTTTACCACTTTGCTTCTCAAACTCTCTGCTCCAGCCATGTTGATGCACTTTAACTGTCCCTTTTGGGCCTTGGCACATGCTGTCCCCTCTTCCCAGAGACTTCCTTTCTATTCACCTCCCTTTCAAGGGGATAAATCCTCCATATCTCTCAGGTTATAGCTCAGATATCACTTCCTCTGTGCTTCCTCACAGGTCCCCAGAATCTGGCTACAACAGAAATAATGGCACCACAGAACTGTGTACTGGTCAGATTGTCCGTGGCATATTTTGGCCAGTGCCAGGCATCACATAGATGACGTCTGCAGGCAGGCAACCATTATGGCGTGCATTCTGAAATTGCTTTTAATATACGCCAGGCACTGAGTTAATGATTTTATGGCTATTATCTCACGTAATCCTATTGGATTGCGTTAAGCACAGATGAGGAAACTGAAATTCAAAGACGTTAAGCAAATTGCTCCAGGGCCCTCAAATGGTGAATGGCAGTGCATGGTGTTTGACCCAAACCTGTGCAAATTTGGAGCCCATGTCTTCAATCTCTGCATAATACCACCTCTGAACACCATAGTATAGCGACTGGTTTAGTGATAAAATAGAAGGTACTTAACCTAAACAACAGATGACCAAGGGGAAGCTATATCCATTCAATCAGTTGAAAGGTTGTCACTTCAGAGAGTAACGGGGACACCTCAGTAGCTGACTTAATAGAAGAAGAAAGTCCTAAAAAGGAGGTGAGCCTCTGAGGGGAAAGGCCCAAGTATCAGTCATCCATGTGTTTCTCAGTCCAATGTCTGGCTCAGAGGAGGGAGCTCCATAAGAGGAAGGAAACAGAGCTGCCCAATCATAGAATGGGTTGCCTCATGAAACAGTGAAGGCCTTGTTGACACTCCCCAGGATGGGCTGGTTGGCCACCTGACAGAGCACCATGGGAAGGATCATAGAGAAAGGATTCCATGTATTCTGCATCCTGAAACTAGATGACCTCTAAAGCTCTTGTCCACTGAAGGATTCTGTAATTATTGGACTGAGTATATGACTCAGATTTTGGCAAGTCACAGATCATCTGGCAATGCAACTAAGATCTCAGAAAGCAGAGAACATGAGTGGATCGGACTCTTGGACTTCCAGAACCCAAGCTTCTACCCTTTCCTGCCCCATAGAGTGAAGTTAAAAATGGTTCACTGTGAGATAGTGGGACATCCAGCTTCGGAGTGGTAATCTTTGTTGCACCAGCGATGGAAAAAGAGAATTAAATATGGGCGACGTTGAGAAAGGCAAGGAGATTTTTGTTCAGAAGTGTTCCCAATGCCACACCGTGGAAAAGGGAGGTAAGCACAAGACTGAGCCTAATCTCCATGGTATCACTGAGTGGAAGACAGGTCAGCCCACTGGATTCCCTTACACTGATGCCAATAAGAACAAAGGCATCACCTGGGGAGAGGATACACTGATGGAGTATTTGGAGAAATCCAAGAAGTACATCCCTGGAACAAAAATGATCTTTGCTGGCATTAAGAAGGGAGAAAGGTCAGACTTGATAGCTTCTCTCAAAAAAGCTACTAATGAATAATAATTGGCCACTGCCTTATTTATTACAAAACAAATGTCTCATGACTTTTGTATGTGTACCACACTTTAATAGATCTCATACACCAGAATTATTTACATCATGAATGAATGACAGAATATTTTGTTGGGAAGTCCTGATTTTTTTTTTTTTTTTTTNTCACCGCAACCTCCGCCTCCTGGGTTCAGGCAATTCTCCTGCCTCAGCCTCCTGAGCAGCTGAGATTACAGGCATGCACCACCATGCCCAGCTAATTTTTTGTATTTTTAGTAGAGGCGGGGTTTCACTATGTTGACCAGGATGATCTCGATCTCTTGACCTTGTGATCCACCCGCCTCGGCCTCCCAAAGTGCTGGGATTACAGGCGTGAGCCACCGCGCCCGGCCTAGGGAAGTCCTGATTTAAAACTAAGACTGGCTTGTGGTTAAATGAGTATATTCAGTTTTTGAATTTTAATAGTAATTCCAATTTAGTAAATGCTATCACTGTTTACCCCTTCTAAAGATATGATTAGACTTTGTTAGCAATGTTAAACTTTTCGCAAAGATGGTGAGTGCCATCTTAAAACTTAATGGAGATTGGTTTTATATTTAGATTTATATAACTGGTTATGTGAATATATTTAAATATGGGGGAAATTCCTTCACTGTGTCAGAACCAAGCAAGATTCACCTGTGTTTTGTGTTCATTTGCCTCTTAAAGGCAAGGGTTGAAGATAAATGGGTAGCAATGGCTACTTTATATTTTTGGCCTTAACTATGCCAATCTAATTAGAATTCCCTGTATTTAAAATGGTTCCTTTTACTTATTGAAAGCTATTTTAGTGTGGTTTATGTGTAATATCAAAAATTACTTAACACTTCACACATTTTATATATGATCTATAAGGTTACATGCCTAGTAGCCAAAACCTTTACTCTTGAATTCTTTACAATCTAGGTCAAACTAAGTTATAATTTAGGATTGTCTTTAAACAGCCATTCAGAAACAAAACTGTAGAACTGCTATGTATTTGTGATTGGGAATGGCGATTTTGCCAACTTAAAAGGATTAAAGTAGAGGAGATATACACAAATTTAAAAAATTATGTGTGATCACAAGACTCAAGGTAATTAAAAAGAAGGCTGGGTGTAGTGGTTCATGCCTGTAATCCAAGCACTTTGGAGGCCAAGGCGGGTGGATCACCTGAGGTCGGGAGTTCATGACCAGCCTGACCAACATGGTGAAACCCTGTCTTAAAAAAAAAAAGCCGGTGGCTCACGCCTGTAATCCCAGCACTTTGGGAGGCTGAGGCGGGTGGATCACGAGGTCAACAGATCGAGACCATCCTGGTCAACATGGTGAAACCCCATCTCTACTAAAAATATAAAAAATTAGCTGGGCATGGTGGTGCGTGCCTGTAATCCCAGCTACTCAGGAGGCTGAGGCAGGAGAATTGCCTGAACCCAGGAGGCGGAGGTTGCGGTGAGCCGAGATTGCGCCATTGCACTCCAGCCTGGGTAACAAGAGCGAAACTCCGACTCAAAAAAAAAAAAAAAAGATAATTAAAAAGAAAACCACAGATCATGAAAAAAAGAAAAATGGTTCACTGTAACTCTGGGGAGCTAGAAACAGTCCCATTCCAGAGGCTAATCTGGAAAGAGAGATGTTTAAGTCATTTATAGAGAAAGGCTCTGCCTGTGGGTTTCAGCTGCTGTCACGGGATCTGAAAAAGGAGATGAATCCTCCTTGCTAGCAGATGGTTAGGGCAAAAAAATCAATACGTCAACAAATGAATTTCTGACAGCCATTTGCTGAAAGGAATTGAAAGGGCCCCACAAAATGCACATTGGGCAGGCCGTTGTTCCTCACACGCACTGTGTCCTTTCACTCCCTGCCGAGTGGCGGGTGGTAAACACAGAGGACTGCCCCTTCTGTCCAGCACAGAGTGAGCCCGATAGAGAACAGCCAGAAGCAAATGCTTTCTGCCAGCTTTCCTGGAGGACTCGCACAAATGTGCGTGGCTCAAAAAACAAAATGTTTCATCAACACTGATGTTATCAGACTGACTCTCTGACTCCACTTTAAAAAATTTATGCACCCTGACAAGAACAGTGTTATGGAGCCTAGAGCACCCAGTAATGAGGGTACCTTAGTGTATGGCCTCACCCACAGTTTTTATGAAAACATGACCTGACACACAACTATACTAAACTAGGCAAACGTCACTTGCGCAACTTTTGAAAGAAGTAATAAACCAAATACAAAGTTGCTGTCATTACCTGTAGATCTAATAGCATCTGTTTAGTCCAACTGTATTATTATTTACAGTTCTTTGACTCATCTTTCCAGTCACCCTCCTGTCTTTTCACTTGCTTCTCTCAACTTAGAGGTCAAACCTTCTTAGTTTGTGTCTATAGCTAGAGCCTCAGTGAGCTTCCCCCAATGGCCCCACATGGTGGCCTCTCACAGGGACCATCACCACACCATTTGTGTCCCTCCCTCTCTTAACAGGGATCTGAGATCTAAGGTCGCCTGGATCTTTTACTTCCTCTCTTTTTTCTTTTCTTTTTCTGCCTCTAAAGAAACATGAATCTGATATAGTATAATAACTGTGTGAAGCCCACCAAACTATTTTTTCCAAATAGAAGGGAATGGTTTTCCACTCTCCCTCCCCCCCCCTTTTTTTTTTGGAGACAGAGTCTCGCTCTGTCCCCCAGGCTGGAGTGCAGTGGTGCAATCTCGGCTCACTGCAACCTCTGCCTCCCAGGTTCAAGCGATTGTCCTGTCTCAGCCTCCTGAGTAGCTGGGATTACAGGCACCTGTTACCACACCCACCTGGTTTGAGGGAGGACATGGATGTGATGATGCCCTAGACTGCCCCACCTGCAGGTGCTCCAGATGGGGCAGTCTAGGGCATCATCACATCCACGTATTTTTAGTAAAGACAGGGTTTCGCCGTGTTGTCCAGGCTGGTCTCAAACTCCTGACCTCAGGTGGTGTGCCCACCTTGGCCTCCCAAAGTGCTGGGATTACAGGCATGAGCCACCGTGCTGGCCCACTCTCTATAGAAGGGTAAACATTTCCACCTTTCACCTTTTCAGCCAGCAGAAAACAATGGCTGCCAAGTGAACTTAAAAACTGGCTTCCTCTCGCAATTCTTGACCAAACAACTTTTATTAACAGCTTTCTAACAATCTGCCTTCTTTGACTGACAAATTCCTTTTAAACAAAATATCTTAAGCTGTGAAGATAAATAGATAGTATTGGAATATTGTTATCTGAAGTTCCCAGACATAGCCTGTGTACACAGACGGATGCTGGCTCCACAGATGTTACCCCCAGGAATGTGTATACAGATAGTGCACACGTACACAGAGACAAATGCTACTTACACAGACAGATGTCCACCAGGAACACAATGTATATCAACAGCTCCCGCAGGGTGGTCTTGACATAAAGTTCCCGGTTCTCAGCTGTGTTCTCAGTCAGGGTTGTTCCCCAAAGTCCTAAGGGGCATGGGAGAGATGCCCGGGATCCCCAGTGGCAGTGTTCCACCCTTCTGTCCCTGACTTCAGCCCCTGTCCCTGCCCTTCCTTGCCCATCGCCTTCTTCCTTGGCTGAATCTGGGTGCTCTCCCACACCTGCGTTCGCCCTTCCCATCAAGTCCCTGAGGTCGACAGGGGTGAAGGCCCTGGCTCATAGAGAATGAAGGCATGGAAAGGAGGCATCTGCTCCAGGTGGGGCAGTCTAGGGTGTCATCACATCCACATCCTCCCTCCAAGCAGCTCCCACATACCCCTCTGGGGCCCCAAGTGATGAGCATGCCAGGCTCCCTGCAACCGGTAGCCCATTCAGCTGTCCTCTGTGTTCTGGGGCATGCAGCACCACAGGCAATTCGCACACCCCAAAGTGACACTGAAAAGCCACCTCTTCTTCAGATTACATTCCACCTCCACTCCCTGCCCAAAAGCTCGTGAGGACTCCTTCTCCTGACTCCAATATCCCGGGAGAACCCTCCCCTACCCAGTACCTCTGATGCCTCTACAGATAAGGAGGCAGCAGCTGGACACCCGGGTCCTGTGTGCCGTCTCCTCGGGTTCATCTTCAGTCTTCTTGGGTTGGGGCTGGGGGAGGCCTGTGCTGGAGATGGTGCAGACCCTCAGTGTCCCGTGCGGGGAAGGGGGACCACTGTAGGCGGGGTTGTCCCAGGCTCCGCTTCCCAGCTTTTGCAGCTCCTGCCCCTCAGGACTTTCCACAGCATTCATGGAGAATGAGGTGGGGGGCCCGGCACCCCAGGTGCCCACTCTCAGCTGGAGGAAGAGGGAGCAGAGGCACAACCCAGCCTAGCCAGCAGAGGGCGAAGGGAAGGGCGTCTGAGAGCAGCTGTCTCCACGCAGCCGGGCTCCTGCCTTTTGTAGGGGCTGTCTGTGCCCGATGGGGAGGGAGCAGACGAGAGGACAGGGTGGGGAAGGATCATGAATCCTGTCAGGAGCTCTCTCTCCCTCTTGCTGCAAGCCCCAGGGGACCCGCAGAAAGGGGAGGTGAGGGAACTGGAAAGTGGGGGTCTGAAGAGGGGAGAGAGGGGAAAGGGAGGAGGATGTGGAACTGAGAGTGGAATGAGAAACAGGAGGAAGAGGTGACGCTGGGGATGAAGGGGGCTGCTTGCAGAAGTGCCTGGTGGAGAGAGGGCCCAGAGGTCGGACGGAAGAGACGATCAAAGAGCAAAGGGAGGAGCTGAGACAGGAGGGGAGCCGGGGCCTGCGCTGCGGGTCTGAGCTCATCCCCACTAAAAGCTCCTGAAAGGGCCGACATGGATTGGGGTGGGGACCAAGGCTTGGGCGGAAGGCTGAAGAGCGCTGCTCCCCTCCCAGGAGCAGCCAATGGGTCTGAGGCTCCTGTCCTGTCTCACCTTGAGCTGTCCCCTGGTGGAATACGGAGGGGAGCTCCCCTCCCTCACCGCACCCTCTCAGCCACAGGGGAAGGAAAGTGGCAGGAGGAACTCGTTTCAGAGACTTTAGGGCCAGGGTCTCTGACCACTGACGGGGCAGGGGAGAGGACCGCAGAGGACTGCAGAGTCCCAGGTAGTCTATATTCCTTATTCTGAGGCTCGCCTTCCCCTGGCTTACAGATGAGATATACCAAGAAAGGGGGTTCCTTAAGGGTGTGGGGCTCAGTGCAGGGAAAAGTCTAAGACCTGGTTGGGGGGCTGCATCGGAGAACAAAGGGCAAGGACAGTATGGCTTGGGACTAACGTGAGTGGCTATCTGGACCCAGCTGAGCTGGAAACCTTTTCCCATTGCTCTGCCTCGTCCTGGGCCCAGAACTGTAAGCTTGAGCACAAAATGGAACTATGAGCGATATCAGGATTGATCTGCTTTCTTTATAACCTGAATTAAAACCCTGGCATGGGCCCCCAAGCACATCCCTGCCTATGCCCTGCTCCAGCCTCTGATCACCTGCCCTGGCTCCCCTATAGGCAGGTGTGAAGCCCTGGAATGGGGCTGGCCCTACAGGTGCTGATGGTCACCCTGCAGTTCCTCATCTTCGATGGCTAGAGGGGAGACTTCCCCAACTTCTGGCTCCCCAGCTAGGGCCACCCACTGGCCTGAAGCCCATCTTCATGTTCAGCAAAAATCAGCCTTGTCAAAGTCATGTCTTCAGTATCCCTATAAAAAGATCTTGGCTAGGCATGATGGCTCACACCTGTAATCCCAGCACTTTTGGAGGCCAGGGTAGGAGGATCACTTGAGCTCAGGAGTTCAAGACCAGCCTGGGCAACATGGTAANGTAATCCCAGCACTTTTGGAGGCCAGGGTAGGAGGATCACTTGAGCTCAGGAGTTCAAGACCAGCCTGGGCAACATGGGAAAACACCGCCTCTACAAAAAAAAAAAAAAAAAAAAAAACCCCCAAAAAAAAAAAAAAAAAAAAAAAAAAAAAAAGCCAGGCATGGTGGTGTATGCATATAGTCCCAGCTACTCAGGTGGCTGGGATGGTAGAACTGCTTGAGCTGGGGAGGTCGAGGTGTTGAGGCTGCAGTGAGCTGAAATCACACCACTGCACTGCAGCCTAGACAACAGAGCAAGATCCTGTCTCAAGAAAAAAGAAAGAAAGAGGGCTGGGCATGGTGGCTCATGCCTGTAATCTAAGCACTTTGGAGGCCAAGGCGGGTGGATCACCTGAGGTCAGGAGTTCAAGACCAGCCTGACCAACATGGTGAAACCCCGTCTTTAAAAAAAGAAAGAAAGAAAGAAAGATAACAAGTGTTGGCGAGGCTGTGGAGAAAAAGGGAGCCCTTGTACACTTGGCTGTATCATAAGTTAGTACAGACATCTTGGAAAACAGTATGGAGGTTCCTCAAAAAACTAAAAATAGAATTGCCATGTGTTTCAGAAAGTGCCAAGGAATTGAAATCAGTGTGTTGAAGAGATGTCTGCTCTCCCCTGCCCATTGCAGGATTATTAAAAATAGCCAAGATATGGAAACAATCTAAGTATCCATCAACAGATGAATGGATTTAAAAGATGTGGTATATATGCACAATAGACTATATTCAGCCTTGGAAAAAAACACAGAAAATTCTGTCATTACGACAACATAGATAAACCTAGAGAATGTTATGTTAAGTGAAATGAGACAGATGCCATATGCTCTCACTTATATGTGGAGTCTATAAAAAAACTGAACTCATAGAAGTAGAGATTCTAGAATGGTGGTTGCAAGAGGCTGGGGTGAGGGGTGGGTGAGAGGGAAGAGAGTGGCTGATGGATAAAAGGTTTCAATCAGGCAAGAGGAATACGTTCTGGTGTTCTGTTGCACAGCATGGGGACTATACTTAATAATGAGGTCCTGTGTACTTCAAAATAGCTAAATGAGAGGATTTAAAATGCTCTTACTACAAAAAATGATAAATATTTGAACTGATGAATATGCTAATTCACCAGATTTGATCACTCTACAATGTATATATGTATCAAAATGTCACATTGTACCTCATAAGCATACACAATCATTATTTATCAATCAAAAATAAAACGCAACTTTAAAAAATAGAGCAAATGGGCCAGGTGCAGTGGCTAACACCAGCACTTTGGGAGGCCGAGCTTGAAACTAGGTGTTCAAGACCAGCCTGGGCAACAATGTGAGACCCTGTCTCTACCAAAAAATTTAAAAATTAGCTGGGCATGGTAGTGCATGTCTGTGATCCCAGATACACAGGAGACTGAGGCAGGAGGATTGCTTGAGCCAGGAGGTCAGGCCTGCAGTGAGCTGTGTTCATGCCATTGCACTCTAGCCTTGGCGACAGCAAGACCTTATCTCAAAAAAAAAAAAAAAAAAAGCAGCAGCAGCAAATGGAGGCATGAAAAATGTGAGGTAGCATATTTTAATGGTATAGACACTAAAGATTATGAAGTTTAGAGGAAAAGTCAGCTTCCTCTGGAGGAAATGAAACAGACGCTAGATCTTGATGGATAGATGAGGTTTGGGAGGGAAGAGCCCCATCAGGTTTGGATGGGGAGGTTTGGAAAAGGAGAGGTTCCTTCTAAGCAAAGGAATAGTAGGTGGGGTCCTGGGGCTCTGAAGATGTCTGTGATGCCCCTAGAGCTTCAAAAGGCTGGCCCTTAGTGCAGTTGAAAGAAAACAGTGGAGGGGAAGGCCCGAGGTTGCCTAGGGTGAGGCCCTCCTGGGGGTGGCTATTGCCATGAGGACTGTGGTGTGTGTGAGTCCCTTCAGAGACCAAGGAAACTACCAGCGATTCAGGGTGGTTGAAAAACAAAATGAGGTAGCTTCTGAAAAAGTCAGTGGGAAAAAAATAACCAAACGAGCAGGAAAGGAAGGGTTCTTTTTCATTTGGGGCACACCCATGCGAATTTTTCATCCATAAAGAAATGAGTAGTCAATCCTTTCATGCTTCCTTTACCAAAAGGTGATTGAATCTATTTTATTAATTCATAGCCTATCTTTAAGGAAAATATATTATTTTGAGATTCTTACTTGTAGTTTAAAAGTTTCAGCTGGGTGTGATGGCTCACACCCGTAATCCTAGCACTTTGGGAGGCCGAGGCAGGCGGATCACCTGAGGTCAGGAGTTCGAGACCAACTTGGCCAACATAATGAAACCCCATCTCTACTAAAAATAAAAAATTAGCCGGGTGTGGTGGGATGCGCCTGTAGTCCCAGCTACTCAGGAGGCTGAGGCAGGAGAATGGCTTGAACCCAGGAGGCGGAGGTTGCAGTGAGCAGAGATTTCGCCACTGCACTCCAGCATGGGTGACAGAGTGAGAGATTTAAGGTAGTCCCAGACTTTAGATTTTTCCTCCTTATTACAGTTTATATAAATATTGATCCAACCTAGATATAAGCTATAGGTAGGAGGAACCTATTTTTTTTAAACTATAGAACACAGCATTCCAGAAAAATGTCATTTCCACTGGTGAAGGGCTATTGGCATACAGAAATCTGGCATGTGGTTGAGGAGAAGGGATGCAGCTGACATTAGAAAATCTTGAGAAGGGAACCATAATCCCCCTTCAAATTCACTTGAGGCTTTGATGTAGGAGGAAAGATGAAAAGAATTGCATGTGGGTAGGCTGCTGAAGAGCTAAGGAGTGTGGGTGCATATGTGTGGGATGGGGGCCTGAAAGTCATGTGCGGATAGTTGAAGGCATCATAAGCCCCAAAGAAGGAAGAGGGATTGTGAAGTTGCTTTTTAGGGGATTATCTAAAGGTAATGAATGAACCCAAGGGAAAAAAGATTTCATCAGAAGAACTTTCATAATGGCTAAGATGTTAAGAGGCTATAAAATAACCTCCCACGAGAGGTGGTGAAATTCCCATTCCTTGAGTCATCTGGAGGAGGCCCAGAAAGTTTTGGAAGGGTACAATGCTGTCCTGGTTGGGGAACAGATTTGGCAACCAAGACGATCCTCTATCCTGGTGTTTTACAGCTCAATTTCCAAGATGAGTCCATTGATAAACAATAAATTTGGAAACTCCACAGAAAAAAAAAGAAAAAAGAAGAAAAAGGAGGAGGAACTGTGCCAGTATCAACCATCTTATGTTAAATAAGCTGATGACAAAGGAAAAGAGAGCCACTGCCTCTTACCCACCAGCCTTTCAAATAATTGCAAAAAGACCCCTGCCTTGCATAACTGGACTTCAGGATAGGGGTGATGAACAGGAAGCCAACAGTATGGTCCAGAGAAGCGGGAAGAACAACAGGAGAATGGTATCTGACTTCCAATGGTTAATTCTGAATTCTGGAGGAGGCCTGTGATCAGCGGGGGTTTGAATGTGCTAAAGGAAGATCATTATGTGACAAGTCTCACATCTCTGATTATTCAAGGCCACCAGTGCACTGCTTTACTCACCTTTGGTCACCTACCCAGGCAAAATCCAATTGCTTTCTCCTGCTTAGTGTTAACTGTTCCCTGTGTGTGTGGATCAACCCCTATTGGCCCCAGGAGCACAGCTTATGCAACACGGCTTGAGAAATTTTCTCAAAAAGTTCTTAGCATTTTTATGATGTTTAAACTTGCTCAAGAAATTGCAAGTGTAGTAATCAAATGGCATCTCCTGATTATCTTGTGTCCAGTACCTCTCCATGTCCTCAATCCTGATTACCTTGTGTCCAGTACCTCTCCAC